AATGTGGATTGAATATGAAATTAAGAGACCAATATGAGAAAAGTACACTGAGGTGGTTTGATCATATAGAGAGAATGGATGAAGATCAAGTTGCAAAATAAATACAGTATATGAAGGAAGAATGAATGGAATGAGAGGAACGAGAAGCCTAAGAAGGTTGCGGCTGGATGGAATTATTGAGATCTTGAAAAAGAGAAATGTTTAAAGAACAAAATGCAATGTATGAGGCAGTATATCAGTGTGATAAAAGCAAGGATACACACACGCACACACAGAGACACACTCATCAAATCAAAAAACATAATATGACTATTCAAAGTCTGCCCTCTGCTGTTGTTGTTAATTATGTCAATCCTATTCTATACTGCATTTTCTTGGAATCAAACCGGTATGCATCTGCTTTCTGCATCTATAAATCTATTGCCCACAATATGACTTAGTTGTAGAGAAGGCACTTATATGGCCTTTCCTTATTTAGAAGGCTTAACTTTGCATGTGTTTGTATGCCTTCAAGCTTAAAGCAAAGTGCAAGCTGTTACCTTTAAGGCCCTTGATAGTGTTTCTTGTGTTTTCGGGTTGATAAGTTAAGAGTCCATTAGCATTGGGCAGACTACAAATATTGTTAATAAATAAATGTACTTGGAGCACCTTGCTCAAAGAAGACCAAAAACTGGATTAAAGTGGAGCAGATGTTACTTTGCTAATGCAAATTCTATTGAATTTTTAAAAGCCACTTGAAAAGTTGGCAGAGACATATTTAATTCAAGCATTCATTAAGCTCTCTAAGCTAAAGCAACAAGTGTCCCCTTTTCCACATCTGATAGATGTTGAGACAAAATGTTTTTTTCAGGGTTTTCCTGAGCCTTCAGGCTCCTCCTGATCCTTTTTTAAATTACTGTATAGCAATGACAGTAAACCAGGGAGAAATATGATTAGGTTAAATTCTCTGCAGCTGCAGAGGATGAATGCAAAATTTTTAGCTGAAGAACCATAACTTCTGGACTTAATTTTCTTATATGACACTATGACCTGCAAAGAGAGAAGAGAAGAGAAGAGAAGAGAAGAGACTTGGAGCAACATCAGATGCTATTGATTTTTGTCTACAGCATCAGCCACTAAGAAATTTGCAACTGCTCAATTCATCTGGCAGTAGAGGACAGAAATAATGGAGCCTTGAGATAGAGAGGAAACAAAATGGAACAGCATACAACAGAATCTTAAACAAGTTGGAGGGGCATCAACACATCAACAGACACAAATATGAAATAGAAAGTCAAAGAATCTAGTACCACCTTCAAGACTATCCAATGTATTAGTGCATAAGCTTTTGTGAGTAGAAGGGCCTAATGAAGCAAGCTGCTCCTCGCAAAAGCTTATGTCTCAATAAAGTTGTTTAAATCTTCAAGGTGCTGGCAGACTCCATGTCTGCTCTGTTGCATAGGCTGACACAGGTGCAAATTTGTTGAGGAATTTGGGCTGATATTTCCCTTTGTCTATCTGGTGAACAAGTGGGGAATGGCCAGAACTCTGGGTACATGTCACAGTGTGAACCAAACACAGGTTTTGCCCTAGCATTGTCCCTTCTGAGCTGGATTGAAGCTTTATGGTCTCATATTGCCCAAAAATTCCTATGATACTCGATAGCATTCCATAATCAGGGTTGTCCTCAATATTATGTACTAGCAAGTCATTTTCAATTCCTAACAACCACATAGATTTTCTCCATGGTGATTTATCCCTAACCTGTTCTTTCAAGTGCTCTAACAAGGCACTCATAGCCCCTGAAACTGAGTCCATCCACCTTACTGCTGTCATCTTTTTTTCTTCTTCCATTTTTCCAGCTTTCCAGCTTTCTCCAGAGAGCTAG